AAACGGAAACTTCTCGTAAAAACACTTCCAAGAGAAAATTCACATTCGAGAGTTTCACGATTCTCACTTAACGGGTGTATCGATCGCGCACTAAGATTTGATGAAATGTGAATATACATTCGATTTGGAAAAACGGCTTTCGAATCGTGCGTTCACTCGCGCAAGGCTCAAGAACTAATGAACGTACGGTCGAACGTCGAAGGCTCAAGAACTGATGAACGCTTGCCGATAATCCGAGTGTTTATGCAAAGGGATTATCCTTTTCCAAGCACGATATCACCACCGGTTTCGTCAGTTGCCTGACGACCCCGGCTAGATTTTGTCTTTCCGTACACGCGCTGACCTTTATGGACTCAGGAACTTACTCTGCTGAGGTCGGAAATGGCCCCGGGTCGACATCTGCATTGACCCTAGCACGCGGAATAAAAATCCCAGGATTTTCCGCGCACGCTGGGTTACATCATTGAGAGTTGGCAAGCTTTAGTTTTTTATCTTCAGCATAACAAATAAATGATAAATGATAAAAATATTAGTGTCTTTAGTTATCCGTCAGCCATTTTTCCAATCTATGTCTATTTCCATAAGGAACCACCAACGAAATTATATTACATCCCAAACAGAAGAATAATATAAATCTTAAATAAGATACATTTCCCATCGAAGCGTAAGAAATTGCAGCTCAAAATGATTGTAAAATAACTATTTAATTCGATCTCGCGTGTAACCGGGTTTTCGAAAAAAGCGCGGACCCCCGTGGCAAAAACATTTCTGTGTACATAGGGTGGTTAGGTGGCGGTGTACCGTGGTACGTTCGTGCAGGTGAGATTATCTAAATTTAAATCGCGCCATGGCGCAGACCCGTGGAAGTGCATTGTTCGTGGCTGTTGCTGGTCGAGAGGACGCGCCGCAAGTTTTTCGAGTGCACGTGGAACACGAAGGAAAGAGGAGCGATGTTCAGGAAGGGAAACGAAGGGAGAAGGTCGAAGACGAGGTGGACTTAACGTTGGGGCACCCACACGTTCACTGGATCGCAGAGAAGGGTCGCACACACGTTGTTCACAAAAGGGCCCCCACGATATGCAGGTGCAGCTCTGCGGATCGGTGCATTCAGTGGGCTTTTGCGACCCTCTCCGCACCGTCGCGTCGTCAAAAGGCGCGTTGGCTGCGATTCGGTAAAAACGAATGACACCTTAACCAGCCGTCCCGCAGACCCTTTCAACAAGGGATGTGATTTTCGTGCCGCTTTTTGCTCGTCTTACCGACACGTGAGAAATGAACCATAATTTTCATGAGAAACTATCCTCGGCTGTTTGCTCTTCGATTTTTTACATTCTTAACAGATACGAGCATTTAACGAGGGGAATGATCCGTAGAATTCTTGAAAGGGTTCGATTGAATGATTTGTTTGCGATTGAAAAGCACCGTAGATTAAAGTGCAATTACGTTCTGCTGGTTGCGTGCATCGAGTGTTTTGGTCGGTATTCTACATGCATGCATTAATCGTAGAAAATCATTCTGGACGATGTATGGTAGCAACGTTTTATGTTGATGTACCGTCATTATGCAGTTATCATGATTATGTAGATAATAAGGACCGATTTGTCTTATTACCAGCGTGAACATCCGTTCTAACGCGATGATTTTTTTCTTCTTCCTACTTGTTTCCCCTCGATCGTCCGTTTCTTTACGAGCTGCGAAGATGATAGTCGCATGGCGGCAGAAATTAGTACGTACCACGATGCGGGAATCGTTGCTGGTTTATCCTTGGATAGCGATATTTTTCCATCATCGTTAATCTACCATCGTCACGAAATTTTTCACGTAATAACGATCACGGTGATTCGCGGGTAACGTTAAACTTCCTCTATTTGTTCCGGGACTCTTTTCACGAGCTCGTGCCACTCGTTAAAATCGGGCTGCATGCGATGCAGCCTTTAAATCGTCCACGTTGAATAATCGCAGGGAACGGGATGACGGGGGCATCGGTCGACACGCGAGCGGATCGGGCAGCCTCCATGGAAAACGGGGTTAATACCCGGCTGGCACGAAACCATCGAGCCGAAATAATTTGGAACTCCTACTATTACCGATTTGGTACATCGCGATGTGCCGAATACACCGGCGTGCACTTAGCCTTGCTAATTTCACCGAGGATACCGTTCGCTAATCCGACCAACTCGGACACCGTTTGGCCAGATTTCGTGACAGGAATCCGAAACGGCCGGCCACGCCAAAACCTTGAGGCTCCTTTTTAAACGAACTCGAAGCCGTTTCGATGGGACCTCAACACAGAAGCTTTCATCCAGATTTACCAACTGCGTTGGCCTGTCGCTAATCGGATTTAACTCGAGCTCGGTAGAGCGTGAGATTTTGTACAGTGAACCCTGAGCTTTGCTCTAAATGGGATTCGCTATTAAAGCTAACATACGTGTACCTCGCGTTTCAACTTTCCAGCAATATGCCCTGATTAAGTTGGCTATCTCTATGGCTCGAATAATTAAAGGATTAAATAACAAGTTAAAGGATCGTTGAAACACGCGTGTCAATTCGATTCTCAGTCATCCATAGCGGACGCGAACGATAGCCGCGTTACCTGTTGCTTCTGAAGCTCAGCCAGGACCCCGCAGGGAGACGATCCACAGTGGACACAGAAAAAGCGTGCTAGACGCGAGTGAAAACGCAAAAATAACGACCAGCTCGGTCTCGATGCCGGCCGATCGTAAAAAACCGAGACACACGGTCGCTCGATCGGTCCGTCCCGACAAAGCGGGACAAAAGGACGAGGTCCGTGATATCCTGGCGCCAGTCGCGGGCCGAGCCTCGGTCCGCAGAAATAAAACGAGCGTGTATCCCGGTGAGGGGAATCGGAATGGTTGCGACGGTCGATGCAGCGGATATACACGAGACATTGCAGTCGGAATATGGGCCAGACCGGCCGATTCGCGAAAGGGATGGATCGAGCCAGCGGACCGCGACGAATCCAGGACGACGTCGAAGGTTGTTCCTTGACGTATGCTCGTTTTCAGCTGGATAACAGCGTTGATATATCGAGCGAGCGACGAAACAGGGAACGGGTATCAGGATGAGAAATGGTTCTAGCGCACGTCGCGGTTATAATTGAAAACCTGGCTCGTTTGTACGCTACAATTTCCTTAAAATGAACGTCGAATCTATAAAGCAGCTTGATTTTACGAGACCGATACGAGGATGATGATTAAACGAAAGGATGTTACGGCCAATTACACTCGTTACGAGCTGGTCGATCATTATTGCAGGACACTGTACACCGTACAACGCGATAAGAATCTAATTGATATTTGCGGCTGCCCCAGTGCATCCAGGTATTTTTAGGCTGGCGCTAAGTCAGCGTCGTGTAAAGTGCACTTGAGGTGAACGTGATCGTAGCAACGACCCCGAGGAAATGAGAGACACGAGATATTAATCGAAGCTGATACATTTTTCATTCGCTACCCCTTAAGAAATTTACATAATATTATTATTATTTATTATACAGGCGCATGCCCATTCAAACACATAAAAATAGTACCTCCGCAATTAACACATTTGATATGAATATGTGATTATATGGTTATATTCGGAAAATGCACAATGTTAAAATTAACGTTGAAATAATCTACAGATTTTGGTCTTAGTGCCGGTGGTAGAGTTATTGAAAATGTCAATCGATAGTTTAAATGAATATTAATGTCTTGGATTATACCTTTTTTCCTGTACTATTTATTCTGCCTAATTTATTGTACCATATTTCTGAATGCTGCTAGTACCATGTTGTATCTTATATACACGAAGGTTCTCAAAATAATTTCTGTCAAATTTTGTATCAAAGGGTTAATCCCGTTTAGTAATGAATAAATAAATAAATTAATGTTACTTGGAATTTTCTTCATTATTTTTCTTTCTAATTAGGTATTCGATTATATTAAATTTATAGCGCTAATCACAGATATGATAAGGAAATATCGTCAAAGAGGACGCGATTTTTCGCTGGAAACGATCGCAACCCTCCCAGAAAGATTTACCGTTCTTTATATTTACCGGACAAGGCGGTCTTTTATTGAGATGTCATCGGTTAACGCAAAACGAGAGTAATGCGATCGGTCCAGCTAGGTGGTCCTGGACCGGCAAAAAGTTGTCCGAACCGAAACAGCCACCCTTTCCCCGCGACTGTTATAAATAAGCCCCGCTTATAGGCTCTCGATACAGCAGTGACTACCGTACGAGGTACAGGTAGGTATGTAAACGCAACAGGAACGACTAAGGTGGTGGTACTTTTTGAATTAATTATTTGATGCTACCCGTATGAATAATTCAACGTTAGCGGAGATGAATCTAGACCGAGCTGCTTGTATACGAGCAGGGGGGTTCGGCAAGCGGAAAATGGGATTGCCTTTTGATTTATCGCGATCCACTGCTAGGAAAAGCACTAGTTGCCCTCGGGATGTTTCTCGCCTGGAATTTCCAGCCGTGGGAAGCTGGAAATTTCGTTATCCCCACGTTTCGTTGGGACGAAATTGCAGCGAAGTATATTTCTGAATATTTCCATCGGTCTGTTGGTTCTTTACAAAACCGACCGTGTCTCTTGGTTACCAGCCTTCGGTTTGGTTAAAATAAAAGCAAAACCAGCGGGCTTGTAATCGATCTGTTACATGAGTCAGTTCCTGCGACGAGTCGAGCGTGTCCACGTCACATTAATTATTAACCACGATAGTTAGGGTAGAGATCTTTCTTTCATTAGAGCCTAGTGTAACGAATAGGCCACACCTCGTGGCCATTATTCACTCGATGCCAACGCTTTGATTCGCGTTTTTATCTTTTTTTTTGCCAGTCTCCCTTTAACCTCAGATCAATTGATTCTTTAAGAAACGCGCGTTGCTAAAGTATCGCGGGCATTGTTTCTTCGAACGCGTAATCGTTTTGGCATGCGGCTGCGCGATTCCCGGGATATTTAATTGACGTTATATCGTAAATATACGTTTCAGGTTACTTCGGCAAGTATCTGAACAAGTACAACGGCTCGTACATACCGCCCGGATGGCGGGAATGGGGAGGTCTCATAATGAATTCACGGTACTACAACTACAGCGTGAACATGAACGGGAAGAAGATAAAGCACGGCTTCGAGTACAGCAAGGACTATTACCCGGACCTGATAGCGAACGACAGCGTGGCTTTCCTTCGTCAGAGCAAACACAATTTCGCCAGGAAACCGGTGATGCTCGTCGCGAGTTTCCCGGCGCCCCACGGACCGGAAGACTCGGCCCCGCAGTTCTCGCATCTCTTCTTCAACGTCACCACTCATCAGTAAGTATGAAAGTTTCTACTTCTGTTTGCCTTCGTTACCGAAAACCGGATCTGGGTCACTTCGTTAGCCCGGATCGGAATATTTGCTCCGTTCCTCGTTTCAATCAATCTAACGCTCTCTAATTCTTTCGTTAACCCTTTAGTTTGATGAAAATACGCGTAAAATATTAAATGAATTTCGACATTTATTCGTTACTTTCCCTCAGAATGTGATAATTGAAAAAAAAATACTATCAGAGAAGTATTCTAACGCTTGCATCTCAAAGTGTTAATTAATGAAATTCACGCATTTCTTTTTTAAACTCTACCTCAACAGTGTATACATTGTTGATTTGAACTTTTTCATTTGTTACGCCAGATGCTATTTAATTATTTTTGGAGGAATCTCGACGTGGAGAGTTTCCGGTCCAAGAGCTAACGAGGGCGAATCGCGCGTCGAATCAAAGTTCAGTATTCGCAAATCGTGGAATTTCATCTCGAATGCAGCTTCTTCGTTCCAATTTGATCGTTTCGCGAAATGGGTCTGCAGCTAGGAAGAGCACGTAAGAGCGTGCAATTCGAAGCAACTGGCTGCATTATTATTTACGCACGCACTGCTCTCGCCTTTCTTATATACCCTCCTCGACTCGCAATTTACCCTCCTTTTCTCCCTATCGTCGCGTTCACCTTCGAAGACGTACGGCAGAACGATAATTCCTTTAACGCGTTAAATTATGCAACGTGCAAAAGCTGTCGGAGGTGAACTACAGCTTTTCGGAATTCCAAACGACCCTCACTCTTGCCGTATTATAGAACTTTAGCTGTTAATACGGCTGTTTGAAATTTTCATACGGAAACTGATAAGCCTAGTCATTGAATATTAGATCCTTTTAAGCGGGACACTTGAGGTATCTCGGTTATAAAACAAGCACAAGTACAAGGGGTTAGAAATACGCAATCAACGATCGATTGTATTCAACTCGTCGATCGATTCGATCACGGTAGTCACACTTTTCCAACGACGTGACCGTGTCGTTCGCGACCACGTAGAGGTAAGAAACAACGGCACCATAGTAACAAACGCCAACGCAACAAACCATAAACGTGCTTCCTGACAATAAGCCTTGTTTCTAAGAACGAGCGAGTGTACTAGCGACAGACAGTCATTTGACGTCCGGTGTTGAAGGTTTCTCGTCCTCCCGATGAACGTCCCAAGAAAATGCATTTACTGTAATCGTAGTCTAACACCCAATGCCGGATTGGAATTTCAATTTTTCCCGAGAGTTTAATGATACGATGGGCCAATTTGTAAAATACAAGCTCTAATTTGAATTAATTAGTCCTCAAATACCTTCCCACATTCCCGATGGTCAGTTCACCCCTTCTAACACCTGACGATCCACTAGTCCGTTCTCCATAAATTTCGTTGTCCGTCTTCTACTAATTTTCGCCAGAAAACAGGAAAGAAGACGAATATCGAAACGACGAGATTTGTAAAATACAAGCTCTAATTCGAATTAATTAGTCCTCAAATCCCTTCCCCCATTCCCGATGGTCAGTTCACCCCTTCTAACACCTGACGATCCACTAGTCCGTTCTCCATAAATTTCGTTGTCCGCCTTCTACTAATTTTCGCCAGAAAACAGGAAAGAAGACGAACATCGAAACGACGGGATTCGCGAACGGTTGTTTCGCCAACGAACAATTTAACGTCTCGTAAACGGAAAAGAGCTAGCACGGTCTGAAGGCGAAAACGAGAGACAGAGGCACTCTAGACTAGACAACCGGATAGATAACTGCAGCCACACGGGGTGTCATCGTCGCGTGATGGAGTGCCCTAGACGGGGCGAACAGTGTGCGCTGATGAAAAGCGCTAAAAAAAAAAAACGTGTGCACCCCTCTCTTGCCAGTCTCGTCTCGCCCCTCTGGACAACGCCCGTCATTGTACCGCCACGATGCAGCTATTATATTCACCTGTCTCTGTTTTCACGGAAAAAAAAAACACATCGCGTCTCCTGTTCTCACCTCCAACTTCGACTCGTAGTCCCTTTGTCCCTTCCTCTTGTCTACGTTTCGTTGGCTGGACGCGTACCTGGTGACTACTACGATTCAGGGACCAAGCAGGAGAGGGAGGAACTCGCGACGTTTCGCGAAGGGCTCTTTTGTGAACCGGAGACTACAGATTGCCTCATTGTACGCCGTATTTTTGTCAGATCGATTCTAAAGGGGGATCTTTCCTCCATTCGATGCGACGACGCGATACGATGTCAGTAAATATCGTAAGCGGATACTGTTTCTATTCAACGGCAATCTTTCTTTTTATATTTTCAGTCTTCGATTCGAATGTACAAATGTATCTGGATTTATTCATACAAGGAATATAAAATCTTTATCCAAAATGGAAAAGAAATCTCTATTTTAGGCAGGAACGTATTATTATTCGAATGCGGTAGGTTCTGTTGGCGACAGGATAATTCATTACCGAATTTTCAAGCGCAGCGAATCGGTCGAAAGTGGCCGACATTTCTGTAGAACGCGTTCGATTTATCGTTCGTCATCCTATTGTACTTGGCGGAGCAATTAAAACCTCGAAAAGAACAAGCGTACAAGAGTGCATCCGCGTGGTGTATCCCATTTATTTTATTTGCGGGTTACAAATTAAAGCCCGTAAATTCATGTCACCGTGGTTCTACTCGTATTCTACGGAGGATGAAAAATGAAGCGGGGGTTGTAAATCGTATTTGCACGAATATGCGGTGTAATACGTAACGTCGTAAATTATAATTACACGGGATGCATAACCGGCATCAGAGTAGTTTAGCGCGGTCGCTGGTACGCGCGTCTCTAGCTAGCCGTTTAATTCCATAAACCGGCATTTTAATTCTACGCTCGTCCATCAAAAGCCGATCGAACAGGAAAATTAATCCGTACGCGATTACGAGCTTTCACCACGCTTTTACATGAACTAGTATCTGCACTCTTAACCTTTTTAGTATGGCGTTTATCGCGCGATAATTTCCCTCATTATTTATTTTCAAATTGCTTTACCATTAATTTCTGAAGATTTCTTCAAACCCAAGTGTAAAAGGGTAAAAAAAAAAAAGGAAAAGAAAAGAAAAATAAAACTTGTTAAGTGGTGTAATTACCGTCGCTTTTTATTACAAGGTGAACGCGTCTAATCTCACCGTTTCTCGATTCGCTGTAAATTAGCGTGCGTGATTTAACGATGTTCGATTAAGTGTGTAACACGGCACGGCGCGTTGATCGTGTAACGTATGCCTCGCGTAATTCTGCATGTCAGGTTGAACGACATCGTACGAGAATCGTGGCTCGTTTCACCGGCCGATTGGCCGCAATTCACTTTTACGAGCACCGCAACGTTCTTATCTGTTTTATATAACATCTGATAAGCGATCGCCTTGCGCGATACCAGGACACCCTGTTTATCGATCGAAATCGAGAGGTTCGCGAGTTTTTCCCGGAGGAAAAACGTGATTTACCCCGGCGAGGAAACGGGCGTTTTCTCTCGTTAAACGAACGGAAATCCTCTTACCCGCCTTTCTACCCGATTCGATTAAGTGGATTAAGAGAGTCGGGAAATTAAAACGATAATGTCAGCGTTAAAACAGTCGAATTATCCTTGCTGTTCTTAATTGAAGAAATTATTTGCCGACAACACTTGTTCCTGACGTTATCACGTTAATTGACACGGTGAGAATGAACGCGTGTAGCAAGACGCGTTATTAAGCGTACGACCGCATAATTTTCAATACTTAATCTCTCAAAGCTGTCGAGCAAACTTTCTCCTAAATTCTTATTTCTCATTTGAAATACTTACGCGTTACGTATTGTTGATTCAATCCCGACAAGCATTCGAAACGTTTGCCTATGACTAACATCGCGAGAACAATATGCCATTCGGTTAAGAAAAGAAATGTCAATGACTCGAAAGAGAAAGCTGCTTTAAATATCAACTCGTTCGAAGGAAATCAATCTTTCTTTAAGAATTTTCATGTCAAGCAGGTCGAGATAAACGAAACACCCTACGTGACGTGTGCACTTCTCGAGCACTTCTCCAACCTAATGACGCCGATCTAAATCCATCGCTAACCATAGCAAAGCTCCTTAGAGCACAAAAAAACATTCTAACTTCAAAATGTGTACTATTCTAAAGAAGCTTATGGTTAGATCGAATCGTAGCGAGTACCAGTAAAATATCATGCAGTAAGAGTCAGACAAGTGGAAACACTCAGGTTTGACATATAAGTGAAGGATAAATTAATGAAAATATGGCAATAATATTCTGCTCGTGGATGTGGAGGCGTGGATCAACTGGTGGTTTGTTTTCGATTCCATGTGGTCCACGAGCATCACCGATTAAACAGAATCAATCAACTGTAATCTGGGCGAGACGGTCGCGTTAATGGGTTCGAGATGCGGTGTCCGGCTAAGCGTTTCGGGCTACTCGGACACGATACGCTCGCGTTATCGCGCGGAACGAGCGTGTTTGTATTTTGACAGCGCCCTTTCACCGTGACTAATCCGAGGGCAACCGAGCGAGGGAGTTGAGTTTATCAGAGATTTAACTTGTACATATTCGGCGTGTACGGCGACCTAAACCGTGCCTCGTGTATTGTCCCGTGGCGTTCTCCCGCAACCGCTCCATTTTCCTTCCCAACGAAACTCACTGGCCCGTTAATATCGCCGGCGATCAGATAATCAGAATTTATCGCCGGAGTAATTAGCCGAAGAAATTTATGCGGCAATTAGCCTCGCGGCTGACGCGGGGGACCTTGTACCGAAAGAGAAAGCAAGAAAAAGGCAATGCTATAAAATGGCTTATTTTAAAACCGGACGAGAAAAGGAACAATTTCTTGCGTTATAATTTCGAAGTTCGTCAAGAGGTAGCTTTTTCGAGTAACCTGGGAACGTCATTCTCGTTAGAAGGATAAAAAGAAGAGCCGTATCAAGGAAGCTTGTCTTCGATGGAGGCTATTACCGAGGAGCACTTATTTTTCTTCTGTACTACGTGGTCTCTTTTCGTGATCCTGGAGCACTCGGGTATGCTTGACAGCCACTTCGAATCTATCGAATATCGATTACCAACGTTACCCGGTATCCTTGCGTCACGGAGAGTGGAAACGTTTCTAAAGAATATTCAATTCCGCGCGATTAACACTTGAATGCCAGAGTTAAGCCTTTGCTAATGCAACATAACTCACGAGTCATGTTATTAATATTAATACTGATCATTAAGTGTGAAGGGGATTCGAGTTGTCTCTACGTCGCCGAGATAACCAATGAACCTAATAACCCAATTGTTTATCCTCTCGTTCTATCAATTAACACTCGATTCGCGCAACCGAATTCATCTATAATAAACGCGTAAGAAATTAGCCGAATAGCAGGTTAATTGGTAAAAATTCGAAGAGCAAACTCGGTTACAGCGAACGGGTCGAATTCTGTTCACCGTAGAAGGCGTTAACTCTTCTATAATTAACCAGAAACGGTCGATTAGCGGTGTAGCGCAGTAGAGACAGCTCGGTTCCCGAATGGTATGCGCGCGAGGGATGCACGCGGAGACAAACGAGCGGATTCAGAGATGTGGCGGGCGTCGGGAGCCGGGCGGCGCGGGGGCACGTGTCTGGGTGCAAATATAATCGTGGAGTGTCTCGCGGGAAAGTTAAGTGGCCGTGGCGAGCCGGTGTACGCAGAATAGGCCGCAATTAAGGAGTCCAGACGAAATACGCGAGCGGAGTGAGCGCCGAGTATTCTTCGTTCGGGGCTGCCGTCAGATTGCGCGCTTTATTTTAAATTTGCATAAAGCGTCGGGCTGCTTTACGCGTCCCCCTCCCATTTTCCTTCGTTCCTTCGGCAGCTGAGCAAACGAAAAGGCTAACCGACGAAATTAACGCGAACCGTGTTCCTCTTTAAGATCCAACCAGTTTTCGTTCGGTGGTTCGCGTTTTTCCACGTTGGCTGCTTTCCACCCTCATTTTCTCTTCTCCTTCCACAGAATCGTTGGTTTGTTTTTCCAACAAACGATCTCCTTCGATAACCGAGACCGGCGCGGATGCAGGTGGCGTTTTCATGCGACCGCACGATTTCTCACGAAAATCGAGCTAAGCTGATGAAACGTGGAAGAGAAACGGGTATTTTTCGAGATTACGTCGCGTACGAGGATCGGTGCACGCGAACCGCTCGTTTTCATGCAGCGCCGACATGCATCTGCCCGTTGAGGTCTCAATTTCGTTTCTTGGAATCAATTCGAAGCTAGGAGCCACGAACAGCTACCGAACAGATCTTTCCTGATGCTTTCGTAATATCTTGTCTTGCGAATAAATGAGAGGGTACGCTAACGCTAGTAGAAGTACACGCAGTACAGTGGGTGATCAAATTATTAGAGTCATGGTATGAAAAATGGGTTTTTTGTGTTTGGGTAGAAATAGAGCCACAATTTTAAGGTTTTCTCCGCTATTAATATACAAAAAAATATTTATAAAAATATACAAATACATTTAAAAAATTATATTTGTAACCCCGTCTTTTGCTGCAATTACTGCCTCAATTCTTTTCAGTGTACTTTCGATGCATTTTAAGCAATTCATTTTGATTGCTTTATTTCTGGCCTATACTTTTATCAGGTGTTCAATCAATTGACATTCATTATTAATAGTAAATGTTCCCATAAATATTCAATGGGGTTGAGGTCCAGAGAATTTCGAGTAAGAAATTATAGAATTTTATAAAAAACTAACAAAAACTCTGTTTAACTCGGTTTTCATTTAAGAATTAATCATTTTTATGTAAAATCATCAATTTATGCGAGTGGCTCTAATAACTTGATCACCCACTGTATAGTAAACACGGCATACCATAGACATTGTACCTCGGTTTAAATTGCAGTAATGCACCGAGGGCCACCTTCGTGCTGGGACGATTACCCTCGTCGAATGCGTTCATCTTTCTTTGCATAGTCTCTCTCGAGTGTAAACGAGCAAAAGCATAAACGACCCAAGGTTAATTTTCCAATTGAAAGAAAACAGTTCGAGTCGATATCGCGATTCAATAGCCCATATTTGGCTTTTCCTTCGGAATCTCGGTCCTCTACGAAACCAATGAAGCGTTAAACCTGTTCCTGCATCCCGTACGAAGGTCTCCCAATAAAACAAAGATCTTCCATGTTCGAGGCGAGCGTTTCTGAAGGACGCGGAGGAAGGTGAAGGGCCAATTACCCATAATTTCGTATCTCGCGTAATTGGTGGAGAGGTTGGGTGGAAAGAGGAAGAGAAAGCAAGAGAGGATACGGTGTCTCGAGGGTCCAGCGTGTTTCACCTTCTCGTTGCATCGAACTACCGTGTCTCGTTGGATACTCGAGATTAATTCAATTTCGCCTACCCGGCTCGGATTCCGTACGGGTACTGTGCGTGTCCGTCTAAATCCCAGCTACCCGAGCTACTTAATCGGCTAACTAATAGTCCTCGAGGACTGGGGTCGATAGTTTACCCCTAAAAGGGAGGAAACTATTCGTCTGTTCTAAACAATTCTGCAGTTTACTTTATACGAGATCGTTTAGCGAATATTTGACGAATTTATAACACGATCAGAATTCATTCCTTGAATAAAAATTATTAAATATATTTCCTATTATTTTAGCACCCCAGCCTACGACTACGCGCCGAATCCAGATAAACAATGGATCCTGCAGGTAACCCAAAAGATGCAACCGATCCACAAACAGTTCACGGATCTTCTGATGACCAAAAGACTTCAGACGTTGCAGAGCGTCGACGATGCAGTGGACAGGGTACGTGTGATTCATGCGTTTAATGGCGTTTCCGCGGACACTTATTAATTTAGCCATTTACCACGGAGCTGCCAAAAAAAAAACGCGAGAGAAATTGGGAACATCCGAGCGTCGTTTCGTCGAAACGACTCGTTTTTACGTCCCTATGGCTTGTTAACAGATCTACCAAGAATTGAAAGACCTGGGAGAGCTGGACAACACGTACATAATATACACGTCTGACCACGGTTACCATCTGGGACAATTCGGTCTGATCAAAGGAAAGAGTTTCCCCTTCGAATTCGACGTGAGGGTACCGTTCCTCATCCGAGGGCCTGGCATCGAACCTGGCACCATGTGAGCGAATATTTATTATTTTGCATTCCTGGTATTGCAAATCGCGAACGGATTTCTCGGATTCGTCATGTCCAGAAGAAGCTCCCGCGGTTCGTATATCGGGGAACGGAGACAAATAAACGTACGATCACACGAGTCGGTTAAGCGCGAAGAGGAGGCGTGAAGATGTAAATCATGTCGGACAGAGTAGACTGGTAGCTACATTTAGTTAAATTGATTCACCAAGTGGAGGAAGATTTACAACGCGACCGCGTGTCAGCTCGTTTAGACTTTTCGAAGCTTACACTCTCGATTTAGCTTTCCATCATGCTTGAATTCAATCAACATTGTTACCATAAATTTCCCTTAGGCGAGTACAAAGGGCGTGACAAACGCGTGTTTCGTTAACATGTTATCCGATGACTGACATTACGAATTTAATTAGAACATTTTAAATATCGGTATCGTAATAACCGATGAGTATAAAGAGGAGGCTGTAATTTTCGTCGATAAAAGGAGTTTCGAGAGAGATAAATTAGCCAGGAGGAACGTGGCCAATCGAGAGAAAAAACTTGATGAAAAAGATTCACCGGTTCGTGTTGCCAAACTACCGTGCGAACGCGAATCCCCGACCATTCGCGTGTAAATTGAAGCATAAGGATGCCTGTTATAAACAGCGCTCTGCTAGATTAATGCTCTCCGCTCGCCCGTTTCCGCGTGCGGCCTCCTGGATTTAATAAACGGCGCCACGTTTCTGTCGCAAGCCGGGAACACGAGAAAAAACGCGACACCGCATTGCAGGAAAAAGCGTTTCCGTTTTCCTCGCTCCGACGAGTATTTCTCTTAGATAACGAAGGGTCGCTGCGGTTGTTTAACGCGATTGTTGACACGCCGTCGTTTGACCGAACATAGAAAATTAGAACGTTGCAGCGATTCTGCTGACGCAATATTCACCACCGTTCGAGGGATGAGCTAAGATATTGGATTACAATAAAGCATCTATATGACGTTGCAGAGTAGACGACATAGTTTTGAACATCGACTTGGCGCCGACCTTCCTGGATATCGCCGGCGTCGAGACGCCACCGCAGATGGACGGTCGTTCTTTCAAGAAACTTTTTCAAAAGTGAGTACATTGCCAATTTTTTCCTCTACGCGCACGCGCGTCGCGCGTCGAACAGAAGAAACGAGCGATCATCTTTCCAGTAAACACGGCAGAAGATCGAAGTTCAAGTGGCCGGACACGTTCCTGATCGAATCATCGGGACGTCGCGAGACGCCGGAATCGATCGCGGAATCGAAAGCGAGAGAAGCGAGGAAACAGAATCAAACGGTCGCGAGGCAACATTCGAACGGGACACCGGAAGAGGAAGAGGAAAACGTGACCGATATGGAGAGCGAACACGAGCCGGAGCATCGGTTCTTCGAGAACGACACCGGCAGCGATCAAGACATCTCCGAGGACGAGGATTTCGAGGATTCGATCATCGACGAATCGAGTAAGAGTTTCTTCCTCCCTTTCACGCGAAGAATGATCGTTAATTTTCGCCTTTTATTACCGCCTTTCTGCAGCTGAGATACAATTTCCTAGCACGTAACGCTTCGCGATGATGCTGCGTTGACCTTTTCGTTGGCAATAAAATCGCAGCTCGGCGAGAGTGCCGTAATCTCGCATTATCGTCCGATCCTTCAACGAATAAATTGCTTTAAGTACGAATTTACGGTAGTCGATTGAGGGGATTCAGTGGAGGCAGCTGCTTCGTCCACCCCGTGGAAATTCGAATAATAACGGGAGGACGTTTCGTTCGAGGGTATCTTGAAAACAGAAATTATACTCTGACGAATAAAATTGACACGCTACGGCGAGCACCCTCCGATATACTTTTCCGCGAAAAGAATTCTCCGGATGCAAAGTTTTAATTAGTCCCAAGTACCATTGTATCGCAAGATAGCAGAGAAATTTCGCCATCAGTAGGAATCGGCCGCAATCGAAACTGGTGGTTAACTTAAACTATTTCTTATTCGGTCGGTCTGGATTATACTCTCGAAAAGGGGTCCGAATAATCCCCGGTTCGATCATAAATCTCGTCAAGCTTTCACTCGAAGATTTATGCATCTCTAATCCCATTTTATTGCCACGTGTTAGCCTACTGTCGCTTTCGTTCTCGCGATTTTGAATTATAGTTATGAAGTCGGTGATTCACAGACTTAGGGAACGAATACAAAGGAATAAACGACCGCAAAAATGACCATCAGATAATTAGAGGAATTCATAAGAAATAGAGTCTGTGGTACCGGAAATTGGTCTGTTTCACGATTTCTCTTATTATTGGACCTAGAGATGGTGATATTTCTCAGTCTGTTCCAGTCTACACCTGCCTATTCCCACGATTTCTCTTATTATTGACTCTAGAAGTCCCGATCGCACCTAATGAATTCTCTTTCAGACGTTGATCCGCATCTGGACAACAGAGTGCATCCGGTGCACTCGACCTATTCCGCGAAGCACGAGCGATTGGCGATCGAGTGTTCGCGGCCAGAGGCCCAGGCGAACTGTGTGCCGGGTCAGAAATGGCGTTGCGAGAGGGACGGGCATCGATGGCGAAGGCACAAGTGCAAGTACGCCGCGCCTCCGTTAAGAATCTCGAAGAAATGCGCCTGCTTCACCCCGAACGGAGTCGTGTACACCAGGCTGGAATCGAACGACTACGAGGGACATCGATACGGCTTCGGCAGGGACAGGAGGCCCGCAGATGTGTACACAGATATGGCTAGATACTTCGCTAGACGTGGTACGCCGCACCGTAATCACTGATCTCGCTTAATGGGAACGCGACGATGAGATTTGTAATTCATCGCCACGATCACGATTTTTCTCAGGCAAGCGAGACGCGCCGGAAGATGTTGGTCGCGATACCGGCCACCAGGATGATGACTATAATGACGGTGACCGTGACCGGCGAGCCATCGACGAGGAAGACGATCAGCAGTTCTTCCAGGAACTGAACAAACTTGCGGACGACGTGAGGAGAGAGTACACGAGTCTATATTCCAGGTATCAGTGATTAGAAAGTGATGGTTAATACTGTTCGAAGCTAAAGTCACACGAGGTTCCACGATGATGGATGTGCTTTCAGGAATAGGTTTAATAATCGAGCATCGCGCGACGACACGCTCGAGTTCGATAATTTGAACGAGTCCGAATATTCGATCGACGACTTTGATCCTAGCTTGGATAAGGTGGTGAAAGGTCGGCTGAACGTGGAGGACGTGGTGAAGAGGCACAGGAGGATACGAAGGAGTGCCATAAAGAAAGATACCGTTGATCATGTTACGAAAATTATGGAGAGCATAGAGGAAGAACTGGATGACCTGAAGGTATTAACTCCAAATATACTGAGAAATATTTCTATTCAGTTTCTATTGCTATGTTTAGGCTACCCAAATTCGCCACTCGGAGACGCGGAAGACACTGCCAGCAAAATGTTCGGTGCTACCTCAGGGTGGAGTGAACTGTTCGGAGACAGTTTATCAGGATCCGAACGAATGGCGCATCTCGAGACGAGAAATCGAGCAACAGATAAGAGAAATGAGGATGCAACTGGAAACATTGAAAGTGAGTTGATTGTAATTTCTGTATCTAGTGTTACGAGCATAATCCGTATCTCTTCCAGGACATACGTCGTCATCTGATGACCAAGCGACCGCACGTCGGCCGGGACACGGAGGAAGGTTCGAGGAGTACTCAAGAGCCTCATAAATCGCATCATCACGCTTCGAAGAATCACGCGAACCGTCATCACAAGAAACACGATCACGCCAGCACTGTTAATCCGACCGTTACAACTGTCCGTTCCACGTGGAAGCAGGACCAAGTCACGGAAGACAAAACTACGTCCACGGGTACTACGGAGAAGCTCAGGTTCACTGTTACGATTGCAGAAAACACCGACGACCCGGATACGATCACCACGACCGAAACAACGACCACGACCTTATCGACCACGGCCAAACCGAAGAAGGCGTCTCGACGTCAGAAGATAAAAGATACCGCCAACAATCGAACGGAAGTCGAGGATGATAGGCCTCAGAGACGCAGGAAGGTTCATCACCATCGCAAAAATAATACACTGTTCACGAACAGCGTGCACGATGACGTGCAGGCTGGCGTGAACATCAGCGAGATCGTTGAGACGACTGCGACTACTCAAAGCGCAGCAACAAGTCAGAAACAACAGTACCAGTCAACCGGGTACACCACCCTTCCCACCACCCTGACGAAGGAGACTCTTCAAAGAGAGACTTCGAGTACCGTCGGAACCACGGACGAGTCCACGAAAGAAACCACGATGGAAACGGACCCGCAAACGGTGCCATCGACGACGGAGACGTCCAGTCTAGGTGAATGGACGAAGTCGCAGAAGACCACTCCTGCGGTTCCTAGAACGACCGGAACTCGTTCCAGAAATACGTTCACCCCTACGACTGTTGCCACGACACCAACCACTACACCAGTTATTCCTTCGAAAAAGTTTCCAAAGGTGCAGAAGAATCGAACGAGCCCAAATCTTGGACCCTCCAGAATAGACGTGACCATCTTGGAGTCCCCAGACAGGAAAAGCAGACAAGGTTGGTAATATTCAAAGTATTTTAAAATTCATTCTATACATAGGATCTGATTGATCTTTCTTTCACGGTGTAGATATAATTGATATAGCAAATAATAATCGTCGACTACCACCGATGCTGAACAGCCCCCTAGAGGCTCGGCACAAATGCTACTGCGAGCCTGATTCCTACTCGAAGAAGGACGAGAAGGAGATCGCCCGTGAAGAGAGAAGAAGACTGAAAGAGGAACGGTTGAAGAAGAAAGAGAGAAAGTTGAGGAAGAAAGCCAAGCTCGAGAAAGAGTGTCTGACAGAAAAGATGAACTGTTTCGAGCACGACAACGACCATTGGCGGACTGCCCCATTGTGGAGCGCTGGTCCATTCTGTTTTTGTATGAACGCCAACAATAACACGTACTCCTGCATAAGGACCATTAACGCGACGCACAATTTCCTTTACTGCGAGTTCACTACCGGTTTGATCACGTATTATAACCTGAGGATCGGTAAGTATTCCTTGAATCTTACCTGTTCGGAAGAGAATCAGTTCTGCAATCACGAAAGTTATTCCCATTGTTTCCATTTAGATCCGTTCGAACAATGGAACAGATTATCGTCGTTAACAGCCCCGGAACGATCTTACCTTCACGATCAATTGGAACATTTGAAAGGGTGCAAGGGTACGAGGGACTGTACAGTAGGAAGCGCGAAAGAAGCTCTGCCGCAGCCGCAACAACATCAGAGATACATTTCGAAGAGAAAACACGCTAACACCTTCGGTAGGTTTCATAGATAACGTAGAAGAACATCGAATCCTCTTTCGTCTGATCATTTCTCTTTCATATACTTATTCGTTTTCATAGAAGACATCTTTGTACCGTCAACGTTACAAATTATTCGTGAAAGCGAACTCGGTAGTCCCCCTAATAAGAGACGAAAAAAGTTGCAAAAGTAAGTAGAATTTTTGAATGCTTGACTATCCAGTGAAATTCGTGTGCATGCCTGATCTAGTGTGACACGATATACACATGTCGAAGCAACAATAAAGAATGTATTTTTCCGATGTATCAAATATATTTGTTTCATGTGTTTTTTATTTATGGAATAGCGTTTGGAACAGAAGAAGTAGAAGCTGGCAAAGTAATTGGAGACAGCATCAACAACAAGACTCGGTGAATTATCGGCGGCACAGACACCAGTACTGATCATGGTTCGTTTTTCATTGAACAAATCGTCGAAGGATGCGTGAAAGCATTGCCTTGGATGTGTATTAATTTCGCGATGCATTTAATAATGTAATTTATTTAGTGATATTTAATTGGGAACGGAAACGTGATAATTTCATTGATGAAGTTCTGATTTCGTTAGACTGTCGCAGCTCGAGGGATTTACCGTGTATATTTTCCAATGCTATTGAACGAGAAAACAATCGGAACAGCGATCTAAACGAGGATCCATTTTTTTACTTAATAGCAGATATTTTTTATAATAATTTATTCATCCCACGTCTCTTTAGGTCTTTATACAAGAAACGCGATTAACTCGTCAACTACGATAACTTGCCTAACGAGATTTAGAGCAATTTTAAAAACTTTGATTATATTGAAAAATTAATCACACGATAATTCATCGCGAAGTGATTAATCGATACAAGTAGCTTTCTAGACAATAGAATGTCTAAGGGAAGATGAGAAGAAACTAAGAGTTCATCTCATGTCGCATTAGAACAGTTGAAATTTTTATTCCTGAATCTATGGACTGAAACGCACAACGAAAGAACGAACACAATAGTAAAACGGTCCTGCCAAAAGCCTTTCGCCATTTCTCGTGGGTATTTCTTATACACTCACACGTTCGTATGACGTTTATTCTACTGAAACTGCCATCCGTTTGATTTTTCCTATTGTCTTCGAGCAGTAACAATGCAGAATAAATTGACTCTGCCACGAAATACTTTACAATCATTGTAGCCAATCTTTATTGGCCTGTATGAACTCGACTGTACAGACAGGATGAAAGTAATTCTAGCGGTTATCTGAAAGCATGCGATGCTAAGACTGCATAAGTTTCAATGAAACTGACAAAATCATTGGCATCATTTATCCTGTGCAAATCTCCTGTCTTACTAGAAGCAGTATGAAAACTTTTGTGATCGCTATACCTAACAGTCCCTGCTACAAGAAATGAAATGCTGATGGATGCATAGGCTGTTATAAATAAAATATGAAAATGAATTTATTGAAAAATATGGATATGCTTTGTTAAGTATAAAGACAACTTTATATAATATTCAGTCTTTCCTACAATGAATTACACATAGTTTAAGTACTGAATTTAATATGCTTCTATGCAAGCTATGTAGCTAAGTAACTTGTCTCCATTAGCATTTTATTTTTTTACGATTATATGTCTGTGTTATGTACTAGGTTCTCAGATAGTGTCCTGAGAACATCTTCAAGATTTTGAAACTGAAGCCATGTATTTAAATCATGTGAAATAAATAAATAAATAAATAAATACTGTCCAAATGATAGTTAACATTTCATTTATTTGAACCAAACCTTACTCTATTAGATTAATTACCTTTCTTCAACAGAAAAATGGAACTATGTTTCCAATAACTTTTTTATATAATGAATTCAAAAATCAATAGCAACATCGAAATCCTCATTGTCATCAAAAATGTTTCTTGCATATTTGGTGTCAGTGACACTTTTGTTGTAAATCTGGCTATCGCCATCAGAGCTATTCGTATCATCAAATGTTTCAGTCTTTTTAATTTGAGTAGATTCATGTTTATCATCACAATGATCTTGCTCAGACTGACTTTCATAATAGTAATTAATGCTTGTATTCACATAATCATTTTGTGAGCATTCATATGTTGTATCATCATTATGTGAGTACATAGATTCATCATTGTTTTCATTACTATTACTTTCGTTATTTACAAATTTAGATGTATTGCATTCAGTATCTTCTGGTGTTTCTAAATACTTTGCCCACTTATTTTCAATTCCCCCAGAATTTGACTGATTAGAACAGCCAGCAGAATTATTATCATTTATGTTGTTATCCCCGTAAAAAAATTCATTTGTTTCATTCCCATGTTCTTTCATCATGTTCAATTTTTTAACACATATACGACAATCTTTCCCTGAACCTCTAAAGAAAACCTAAAAATTGTAATTTTCTACTACTACCTTGTATATCTATTACCCCATTTGATTGTATCAAGACTTTTGCATCAGACAATAATGTAAGTTTGAAATGTAGTTTTTTAATTATGAAAATAATAATAGACTTACCTGTCTCAAAATCTGCTTGTGATTACATACTTTGCATTGCCATTTCTTTGCTTGTTTAATCAGATGGACCTATAAAACGTCAAATAAAGCATGTGAAGTTATACCATACAATCTTCATTTTAATCGTAATATGAACTATTCAAGAATTACCTGATACATTTTACACGAATAACAGCGTAATACATTCATTTGTTGCGGCATGATACCAAACTTTGTTAAAAATAAAAGAAACATACAATAATGCACTGTTAAAACTGTTACGTTTGAAACCACAACACTTCCAGAACTATTTCAAACTTCGATACTTCACAGATGGCGGCCAACACACCTCATTCGCAGCTCAGTGACACCTTAGCTTTGGCGGGAAGACTGTAAATCTTCATTTCCAGAAAGTGCTTCCGGTTAGTTGAATTCAATCGATTTAATTTATATCATTAATTATAAACCATATATATTAATTTTACTTCATAATTTATAGTTTATTATCATATATCATTTCACAATGTTTCACACAAACTTTATAACTTATACTAAATTATAAAGTACGCTTATTGATAGTCAATTTCACAATTGGGTAAAGCTTCGGTGAGTTCTTTATAAACGGAATCTTTCTTCTTCACATATATTAATCCTCGAATTTTTAATTTTTCTAAATTTCTGTGGGCCAAAACAAAGAAAATCGAATTATTGTTTCAATAATTATATTTTAGTAATGTATATGTGTATCACATACTTTAATACTTTTAAACTTAGTAGACCTTCATCATCAATACTTTTACAGTTTATAAGCTCCAAATGTTTTAATGAATCTTTGACAAGTGATAAGTATGGTAAAGCACTATTATCAACATATCTACAGCTTTCAAGTTTTATGTCATTTACATGCTTGCATCCCTCTGCATTAAAGATTTGAATGAATAATTATGGTTACATTTAACTTTATTTCATAAATATATTTCTATAACACTGACTGAAATGTTCAAATCCTATATCGCATATTCCAGCATCATTAGCATCAACACCCTCAACATAATATTGTTGTCCAATAACTGGTAATTTATTGTAATCTGTTAATAGTTCAGAAACACCTTTCCATCTAACATGTGCCCCATTTTTCAAAAGCCATTCTGCACATGCACGATCAGGACCAACCTCATTTACACGGTCTTCATCAACTCTTAAAAAAGAAACCTCTTATATTAATAATTATTCATTCTACGCATTAAAAATCTCATAACATCCCCTTATTGTAATACCTATTGAACATGACATTAATCCAATAAAACAGAGACTTGGTTTGATTCTTTGTGTTTGAAAACACAATAGATCTTATTATGTTGAAAGTCTGAAAATAAAAAGCATAATATAACACACAATCAAACATAGTTACAAAACAAGGTATACATCATTTGAATCATACAGGGATTGTCATTTCTCGATTGTTGAGAATATATTAAAAATGTTATAGAAGTTTTATGGTTGCTGTAATACAAATGACAAGATAATCTCGTAATTACGTGGAGAGAATATAAAAATACTATGTAATTATTTCAACATTCAATTTTACGCATTAGTATTTACAATATGTATTTATAATCTAGTGTGTCATTTGGAACTGGCATTGTATCATAACATTGTTATACTGTTAAACTCAATGTGCCATTTAAAAACAGCACTGTCAGAGCAATCTGGTAGTGCCATCTGACAGTATCTTTCTTAGAGCGCTTAGAAGTGACAGTGTTTTAAAATCAGTACATTCTTTTTCAATTTCATTAGTGTTGTAAAGCATTCTACGAGCTCATTCACATCAGAAAAATCAAATGTATACGTAATTTCTGTATAAAATAAATCTTGAAACATTTTACAGTGATTCACCGTAGTCGGTGAAGAGTGAACGTTATTTGCTACAGATGTCAGCGACAAACAGTGCTTCGGTCGACCGTAGTATTCTACGTTATCCGTAGTCTCTGGATCTCATAATTGTATGTGCCGCCGGTTTGAAGAGTCAAAACAAACCTGTGTGATTCTGACTAGTTGCGATAACATTTCATAGAAAAACTAACAACTAGCATCAACATGAGTCGAAGAAAAAGGGCGAAGGTTTGTATTGTTGTTTTCCTTGACTACACTTAATATTGCTTGATAACAAGGTTATAATTAAATGAAGCATTGTTATTATAATTGACCTACACGATAGGTTTGCAATATTTATTTTGCAGGTGTTTGATTTTAAATGTTTTTCAACAAAATGTTATAAAATAATGCAACATCCTTTACACCCAATTTTGTATATGTTTATGCATGTAAATATATAGATTAGGTTATGTTTTGGTTAGATATATCATTTTCTATTCATTTGTATTTATTATCATTTGTGAATTTCTTTTTTTTGTATTGTAATCAAACATGTTTTATGTATACTTCAATATGAAGTTGTTTTATATGACTTTTAATTCATAAACAGGTGTTAAATTTGTCCACCTATACTTCATAGTGCATTTCTGTATCTTCAACAATACTGTTCAATAAAGATTTACGATTGGGAATATTTTTAATATATTTTGACTTCTTGGTATCAACATATTTATGTTTGAACATAGGTGGAGTACAGGGAAATGGAGGAAAAGTATAATCAATTAGAAGATGAAAATGCTTCAGATACATCAGAAAAATCTAAACCTGGGCTTGTAACACCAGAGAAAAAGGTTGTACCTGAAGTGAAGAAGGAATCTGATACTCCTGTACCTCCATCTATCCCTACGTCATCAGCACCTAAACTTGAAGTGAAAGATGAAGATGATCAAGATAGTGATCATGAAGATCCCCATGGTAAATATATGTTCTATTAAACTATGATTATACATCTTTGAAGAAATAAATTATAATGTATATTTATTGGGATTATAGTGAAAGAATTACTTAATGGATTAGAAGGTGCAGCATTTCAAAGCCGTCTTCCATTTGATAAGCTAACTTCTACTGAAGCAGCCTGTTTCCCTGATGTTTCTGGTGGCCCACCACAAACTCAGAAAGTTTTTCTCCACATTAGAAACAGACTTGTATAATATTTAATTTTAAACATGTATGCATAATGATTCTTTTGGCTCTTACTTATGGGTATTTTTATTTTAGTTGCAATTATGGCTTGAAAATCCCAAACAACAGTTAATAATTGAAAATGCCTTGCCAGCAATAGAACCTCCTTATAATAGTGACCCTGTATTGACACGTCGAATTCATGCATTTTTAGAAAGGCACGGTTTTATCAATTTCGGCGTGTTTAAACGTCTTAAGGTAACGAATTTTTAATAATGGATCACTTTTATATATTGTATTTTTTTACACTGTATAAACCATCGATCTTTCATTCCAGCCATTACCTACTAAAAAGTTAGGTAAAGTGATAGTAATTGGAGCAGGAATTGCTGGTTTAGCTGCGGCTCAACAAATGCAACAGTTTGGTTTAGAAGTGATTGTACTTGAAGCAAGGGTAATTATCGCTTTTAATTTTTCCTTGGACATATAAAATATATATATGAATAGTTAAACATATTTTTGCTTCGCAGGATCGTGTTGGTGGTCGTATTGCAACGTTTCGCAAATCGTCGTACATAGCCGACCTTGGTGCTATGGTAGTTACAGGGTTAGGTGGAAATCCTGTAACAACTCTTAGTAAACAAATTAATATGGAACTTCACAAAATTCGACAAAAGTGTCCGTTGTATGAAAGTGACGGTCAAACGGTTAATATAATTATCTTTCTTATGAATGTAACGATTAAATGTTTTAAAAAATTACTCATGAAGTTTTAATACTTTTATCACGCGTAGGTTCCGAAAGATAAAGATGAAATGGTAGAAAGAGAATTTAACCGGTTATTAGAAGCAACGTCGTACCTTTCTCACCAATTAGATTTTAATTACGTGGGTAGTGCTGGTTCAGGACAAGGTGGTAACACGCGACCGGTTTCCTTGGGTCAGGCATTGGAATGGGTGATACGTCTTCAAGAACAAGGTGTCAAGCAACGTCAAGTTGCTCACTTGCGTTCTGTTTTATCGCTTCAAGGTCGACTTATCACCAATCAACATAGGGTAAACATATTTATAACGATGTCATGAAATTTTCAGAAAATTATTATGATTAAGATCTAACTGAAGTTTTCATATTACAGATGATAGCGATTATGGATCGTTTGGTCGAATTAAATAAACAGTATAAAGAAATGACCGAAAGTAAATTACAAACTCGAGATATAACTCAGGAATTTGTTTTACGTTCGAAATTACGTGATCTTCATAATGCGTGTAAGGTACGATTTTAATAGGGTATCCTTATTTAGGCGGTGTAATCATGTATTATATTCTACTTAACCGCTTTGTATTAGGAATGGGATCAACTTGCGGAGCAGCAAAAGGAAATTGAAGCAAAATTACAAGAGCTGGAGGCTGCTCCTCCCAGGTAATTTCCATATAATACATTTCATAATATTGTGTACCAAACATTGGTTAACAAACAAAATTGTTATGTATTATTTACAGCGACGTGTATCTCTCCTCCAAGGATCGTCAGATATTGGATTGGCACTTTGCGAATTTGGAATTCGCCAACGCGACGTCGCTGTCGAATTTGAGCCTGAAACATTGGGACCAGGACGACGACTTCGAGTTCACCGGCAGTCATCTAACAGGTAAGTTATTTGACCATATCTTATATAAACCAATGTTTTGCTTCGCTAAATAAGCTGATGTTTTCGCCATGAGAATAATTTTACTTATAACGATACGTAAATTGGTCGTAATTATTATTGACCGTACGCGTTACTCATTGAGACGCGGCTTAGCACGCGAAAACATTCTAATTTCATAGAGAATACGCGATTCGTTGAACATCCCCGTTCATTGGATAGCTGTGTACGGCATTATATCGACGTTCTCGAGAAATTGCTTAACCAACCAGTAGATGGTATAGATAACGGGTGAATTATTCGCGGGTTGCATCTCCTTTACAGGCGTCGGATAGTCTCGCACTCGGGTATCCGTGCAGTTGACTTTATCAACCTTATTGAAAGTCGATAGCACAAGATTCCGTGTAGATAGTCGGTATATCCTTTAACCGATCTCGGTTACCAGAGTTCTCATTATGTGAAATTATACTATGATCATAGCGTGTAGCCGTGTAGCTCGAGCCAACTAATGCGTTAAACAAAAGCAAAGGCGGCGAGAAATATGACTATAGATAATCAAGCGATTTCATATTTTACAATGTCCGAGGATTCTCTGTTCCCAAC